AAGCGCAGGAAAACATGTGACCAGTAACAAGCACGGGAAAATATGTAACCAGTGCCAAGCACGGGAAAACATGTAACCAGTGCCAAGCACGGGAAAATATGTAACCAGTGCCAAGCACGGGAAAACACGTAACCAGTGCCAAGCACGGGAAAGTATGTAACCAGTGCCAAACATGGGAAAACATGAAACCAGTGCCAAGCGCGGGAAAATATGTAACCAGTGCCAAGCACGGGAAAACATGTAACCAGTGCCAAGCGCGGGAAAATATGTAACCAGTGCCAAGCGCGGGAAAGCATGTGACCAGTGCTAAGCACGGGAAAACATGTAACCAGTGCCAAGCGCAGGAAAACATGTAACCAGTGCCAAGCGCAGGAAAACATCTAACCAGTGCCAAGCATGGGAAAACATGTAACCAGTACCAAGCGGAGGAAAATATGTAACCAGTGCCAAGCGCGGGAAAATATTTAACCGGTGACCGTGTTAAGAGCTTGAAAAGGTGTGACCAGAGTGATTAGTTTCAAGCGCGAAAGCACCGCGGGCCCAGTAACCAGTGCCAACAGAGGGAACACATACATATAACTGATTCTAAGCGCGGGACAACCAGATGGGGGAAAACACACACTGCTCCCTGAGGTCGGTGTGTCCTCTTGAAAGCTAGTGGTTTTATGGTGGACTTTTCCGTTACACTTTGAATTTCTAATTCAAACACTTTGTTTTCCTTTTTCAGTCGCACAACTGTGCCACTTGAGTTGCGACGCCAATGGACGTTTTGGCCAAACTACACTGATGTGAATCCTGCTTCTACAACTGTATGTGTAGATGGCGAGATAGGAACTGTATTGAAGACTTACAGGGAGGTAAATACGTGCACCTTATAAAACGAATCTTTTTAAGGAAGTTTCGTTAATGCGGCGTTTATTAAGGGAAATATAAACATGTTTGGCGAAATAATTATATAAGACATTTAAATTGTCAACAACCCTTAATTAGGCACAGAATGGACCGACTATCATAGACGAGCATATACAGAGCTAACTATTTTATCGAACACGGTCCCGTAGTATGCTCTGAATTTACAAAAAATTCTTTACACGAGCTTTAGGGACGGACCATTATTTTTTTAGGGGAGGGGGGTTGTGGGGGTGGGGCAATTTGTAAAAAAAAAAACTCGCACAGCAACAAATGCTGAAAAACATGGTGGAAGAGGAGCCATGGGAGAAAAAAACCTCGACCAGGTGCTTTCTACTATCCATTTAGATTTTTGATGTTAAAAAATAGAAACATTCTTGCACAAGCTGTTGCTCAACCTAGAAGTGAAAAAAATTCATGCCCCAGGTAAAAAAAAAAAATTCACAAATACCGGCGGGAAGGTGCCGCAAATTTGAAAATTAAACGATACACAGAGCTGTAAACAGGTGATCTTCTCGCGAGAATTTGTGAATATTTTACTTTAAGTCGAGGCTAACCCTGTGCAAATGCGTTCTCAGTGCTTTTAATGGGCGGTCATGGCGAACTCCAAACTGGACTATTGCCCAGCCCACCCTTCTCAATAAGATAATGGTTCGTCCCTTAGCGCGCATGGCAGTGACGTTAGTAAAATCAGGAGTTGCTTCTTCTTGGATCTGCTCTTGACGTTTTAAGCACCGTGTAACGGGACAGAACTTTACAGCAGTACAGCAACGCTGATTGTGTCTTTACTATCTCAGATTCTTCACGGAGCATCGCAAGAGTGGTTTGACGGCGTGTGGCCGGTTGTAAAGAAAATCATGGCCCGATGGATGACAGAATTGGACGCAGCGGGAGACGGTAAAAATTCTCTCTAAAATGACTGTGTTAAATCCCAGGAGCTATTTTTTAGCTCCCTCCCTCCTGTTAGCCCTCTCCTAGAATCAAAAATTCAATTTTGTGTTAATGACCCCTCGGCTGCATATCAGAAGAAAAAAAGCAAAAATTGAAATTAATGTTTAAAACTTTAAACGATCAGACTCCGGAGTACCTGAAAGGCCTATTTAAACCCTTCAACTCGGACTATGGACTCGGAAATATTGAAAACAATTAGCTCTGCCTAAGCCCCGTACCGATTTGTTTGAAACGTAGATTCTGCTACAGTGGGGCACATTTGTGGAATAGCCTTCCACCTAACGTCAGAGCCATTAGATCTTTTATTAACTTTAGAAATGAGATAAATCGCCAACTGTCCTCCTCGTATTCCCACACGGCAACCATGTAAATCAGGTTTCCTTTTTTAAATCGGAATTTGTAACTGATGTTTTTACGGTGTTTAAATAAAGTGTCTATGGCTCCCCGTTACAAAGCCACCCCCGCCCCCCTTCCTCGTTCTCCGATCTCCCCTTCCATGGGCAATTTATAAGCAATTTCAAACAATTATTTTGAGGTAACCGCACGGATTATCCATCCACCACGTAATTGTTTCGTTTCTTTAATCAGTGGTACGGTTGTGTGAATTAGCGGAGCTTAACTTTGTTTATTTATATTATTGTGTGTGTTCGTGTCCCTGACCTAAACTAAAACTTGTAAAATAGCTTTTCTTTAAACTGGCTGCCTTGTATTTTTAACTCTTACATTGTTTCGGGTAGCCAGCACCCTTGTCATTTTTGTTTTTATTCCAGCAAAACAACGTAATTTTCAACTCTGGGGTGAAATAAAAGCTTCTGTTGTTGTTTGTTGTTGTTGGAGATGGGAATGAAATAGCAAAAAATACCTGAGATATTTATCTTTCTTTTTCTTTCAGGGTTAATTCATGGTCCGCAACCCAACACTTATGATACTACTTTCTATGGCGTGACTACTTTTACCTGCACTCTGTATCATTGTGCTCTCAGGTAAATTGATGTTTCTGTAACGCTCTTGGTGACCCTCGTCGACTCTCGAGCGCTCTCGGTGACGATCTTATACTCGTCGTTGTTTCTCGCAGACTTTTGGCGTCTCCCGTCGGCTCTCGTATCCTCTCATCAAATTAGAACCGGCTCAAATGTTTCTTGAGAGGCTTTTGGCTAAGGTGACGTCCTAAGTAACAACTTATCCTTGTCAAATTGCACTGACATGAAAACGGGGAGAAGATTCGCTGCGCTCAGCTTCTCTCTCTATTTGCCTCAGAGCTAGACAGAGAATGAATTCTTTTACTTTTCATTGTGTTGCAGAGCTGCAGAAGAGATGGCAAAGCTTCAGGAAGATATGGTGCAGTAGCATTTTTATTGCCAATGCCTTGCTTTCAGTGTTTGCTTTCAGTGAAATTATGAGGAAAATTACCCGGAGGAAACTCCCATATGAAAAGGAACGGGGCGCTCATGCTTCCTTTTATGGGGTTAAAAATCGGTTAATGTGTCGTTTTAGAATTCGTACCTCCTTAGGGGAGAAAAAGTTGTAAGCGTCCACCTCGGGGGTGGGTGGATGGGGGGGGAGGAATTCACTTGAACTAAATTGCGATTGGCTTGCTTCTCCACCTAATTTGTAGAATTCGATCGCCCTGGTTAAATCAATGAAACTCGTTGACTGTTGTAAACTAGACTTCAAGCATGCAAGTGAAACAGAAACAAATACAAGAATTTAGGCTAAACTTTTCAAGAAGCACAAACCGTGATGTAGCAACTTTAACTGGCAGAACGTTGCACACTCTCTTACTTGTCTCCTCTGTGGTTTTAGGACCTCGCTTGTAAATACGCCGAACGGTTTGCTCTGGGAAGCGCCAATCTCGACAGCACCTGCTTCACCAAGGAAGATTGGTACACACAGGTGAGCTCCAAGTTTAAAAGGGACCTCCCGGTGTAAAAGAGGGCCTTCGTGAAGATTGTGGTGTAACTTTCAATCTCGTTACCAGGACGAGGTTGCGTGTCTTGGAGCTTGTTACAGCATGTTACGTTGAAGACACTTTGTAAAGTGATGGACAAAAACTTGTTTTACTTTTTAGTGAGTTTAGTACTAGGTTTCATCAGCTTTCGTTTGCATCGCCTTCTGGTTTTAGGACTGAAACGTTTGATACAAGTGAATATATAAAATATCATATATTAGAGCTGCGGAGAAAGATATGAAGATATGATTGATCATCGCAGTGCTTGAAGTTGTATGTGAACAATTAATAGGGGACTTCAGATTTGAGTGCGAGTGCGAGATCGAGTACGAGAGCGATTTTTCAATTTTAGTTTGCAGGCTTCACATTATCACAACACATACCCATCTCATCCCATGAGCTACCCTCTCTACATAAAAACACCATGAAGAACTAGGGCTCTGGAAACGTCACTGGTTTGAAATTCAAAAATCGTACTCATACTCAACCTGGTTCCTGTAGTCCAATCTAAAGGTCTCTAATGATGCGACAGGGTGTATGATGAAGGCATGACTGTGATAACGGTGGTTAATTTGAGCATCTGGTAAATCCCCTTTCTTCCATTGTCTTGTTCCTTTAGGAAGTCGATCTAAAGCACCAAACAGCTGAACTTTCTGATGGTGAGTCAAGCCTTCGCGTATTGTATTTTTTCCTATAGGGAAATCTTTGTTAACAATATTTGCCTCGTTAACATAAGTGAGTCCGGTCTTGATTAAGCTACGAAAACATCAGTTCTAAAAATTGAAAGGGTATAACATGCCGATATGATGTCAAAGAGGGTTTTACCCTTGGCTATTTTAACAAGACACGTTAATTAAGTTGTTGTTGTTGTTGTTGTCGTATTGAATCCTTTTGTTCGACGAGGATTAAAAACTAAAAATTTAAGGCTCAAAATTTTGCAAAGAGTGTTCGAGCTCATTAGCGCTTGTGCCACACAGATATTGTGCGGTTTTTAAAAGCCGATTTCTTCTTGAATATTACACCAGAAAGAGACAAATTTCACCAGTTACTAAGTTTCAGAAGCTCTTAAAATGTTTGAAGTCAATTCGTGTGTAGCGCGATGCCTTCTCTACGCAGTCGTAAGTTAATGAGCAAAATGTAAACAATGACGTAAGCAAAGATAGCTCTTAGTAATTTCATTGACAACAAATCTTAAAGGAGCTCAGTCACGATATTTTGAGTTATTTTGGTCACGTACAGAATTACCTATAAATTACAGGAAAAATCAAAATAATAGTTTACTAAGATACCAAAACACCTAAAAGATTATAATAAACCATAAAGGAACAAGGATGGTTAAGGATGGAGAAGATTGACACGGGTTACAAACGATGAACTTGAAAAATTTAGGCTATTCACTTTTCAAGGTGCTCAAACCGTGACGTAGCTCTTTTAAGTTAGGGATGAATAAATGGACTCATTTATGTTTCGACCAACACAGAAGAATGCTGAAAGCACAGGGCGGTCAGATTTGCGTGCATTACTTTGCCCTGTCAACGTGTGTTCCTACCAAACAGCTATGATAATGATGCACCACCAAATTAATGATGTTTCTAGATGTACCACAAATTTTCACCACTAGCTTGAAAGGAAATGCATGACAACCATTAATGAGAATTTCTACTCCTATCCATTTTCCTAGCAACATTCGTCGATTGTTTGGTTGGTCAGTGGTGGGCATTTGCGTTGCAGCTGGGTTATCTTCTACCAGAGGAGCACGTCAAAAGCACTTTGCAAAACATCTTTTTAAGAAACCATGTGGACTCCTTCGATCCAGGTAAGCGGCGGTAACTAATGGGGAGTTTAAGAAAACCACGACAGCAACGGCAGCGGGAACGTCGCTAAATAACAGGTTTAACGAGGAGAACAATGGCTGTGCACGTGCGTTATAATTCTTGGTACATTTCTTTGCCGTCCTCTTCAAAACAACAACGTGAAATGATCAAATTCTACGTTGTCTGGAGAACGTGAACCACGACGGCTATTTTTTGATTTTTATATCAAATGTTTCGCCGTGTCCCAGATTCAGTTTCGTGATAGTTTTGACACTGAGAAACAAAAGAAAATGACTTAAGAGTATCGCGAGATTCGTAGGTAAAATATAAAATTAGGTAGGGAGGGGAGGGACAGATGCCAGTTGAAACACCCGATGAGCTTCCCACCGGGACACGAGTGACCCTGGAAAGATCCTATTTGAAGTCCCAAAATATTAGACTTCCGGTTGAAGTGCGCATGCCTAGCTGACAAACACGTGACTCAATCGGGACCCTGGTGGTTCACTTCCGCTTATTTCCATTGTTTTTATAACCAATAAAAATCGTACCCGTAACGGAACTCTCGAGAATCGCTCGTTCCGTCAAGCTTGCGCCGCAAGAGAACGAGTTTGCAATACTTCAGCTTTGCCAAACAACGCATGCGTACTTAATTCTCCGAGATGGTGAGTTGTAACAGGCATTCTCACGAAATGTTAGCTTGGCTTTTAGACAGGCTGTCACGCAACTTTATCAATTTGCAGTTTTGAAATATTACCTTGCGGACAGGCAGTAAAAAAATTGTTAAACTACTTCATTATCATTGGTACATTGTCATAGTATTAATATTATATTAATAGTAACATTTTGTTACTTAGCTGACCAGACTCCCAGGAAGTTCTTTGATCAGCGTGACGCTGGAATGTATATTGGCCGATGGCCGGGTGCACCTCCAAATCATCCTTTCCGATACAGCAGCGAGGTTTGTTGATGTTGTTGTTGTTGTTGTTGTTTTATCTTATTCATTTATGTTTGTTTTCTTATTTATTATTGTTATTTGGCTGTGTCTCACAAGGACTGGGAACTACCAAATTCACGAATTTGATGGCGGAAATCGAATCGAACGTGAACCGGGATGGCAAAACGGCAGACTTTACATATTTAGCAATAGGATAATTCTGAAACCGATGTACTAACTGAAAGGATATAGGGGTTGGCGAAATTCTGAGGTGTAATCTTCATTTTGTTTTTTTTAAATAAGTGATGTCACCTCCCTATTAGAGAACTTAAGGTGATTCCCCTAGTAAAAGAAGCCGCCATAAATTTCCGATGAAACTTGGTATGCTGTTGCTGTTGTTATGAAAGAAAACGTGGGGGTCACCGTGCTCGTTTAAGAGAAAAGGAGCATTTATTTCGCTATCGAACTTAGCTCTTACTTTTTGTACCCGCACGCGCTCATGTGCGCGCGCTAATGACGCGAAAATCGGGCGCAGTAGGGATGCGCAATGCAGTACTAAGGAATCACCTTGATGATAATGACAACGACGACGACGACGACCACAACAACAACAACAATAATAATGATACAAGCAACCCAGGACTAATTTTTCGTATTTTCATTTCGAATTGAACGCTGGCATTACATATTTAGCTTGAGAAAGGTTTGAAGGTAAAATATAAATTCATTTTTTACTAGACGTTGTCCTCGGGGTAGCCGTCCTCATTGCTTAAGCTCTCTATTTTCTTGGCAGGACGGGCGTAAAAAGAGAATTGCATCGAAATCTCCGTATAGTGTTTTAACAGCAAGTAAATGCTTAAATTGTCACGCAATCTTTCGTTTGGACAGGACGATTATGTGACATGTTCGCTTCTCATATTTTTTGTTATCATTCTTTGCTTCAGGGAGCTTGGACAGGTTTAGAGTACGAGTTTGCGCAGCTGTGCTTGAGCGAAAATATGATCACCACAGCTCTTAAAGGTAAAATCGGTCCCTTCGTTATTTTGACCAATCTCTGATCTTACACAATTGTTGTCAAACTTTTGAGGTTAATAGATTGGTTTTCCTGTTGTGCAGCCTCTTTGATTGACAAGCAATGTGTGGAAAGCCAACGGGAAAAGATGCTGACAGTTGCAATTAAGATAAAGCGCGCGGAGACTGGGGAGGGGATAATCTGGCATGTCTTCTTTTACTTTCACTCGGGGAAAATCACAGTGGACCTTTTCGGCGATACGGCGGCCATTTTGAATTCTATTGTGTCATTATTATAGGATGCTTAGGGGGCATTAGTATGCATTTTCCCCCTCTAAGCATCCCATAATAGCTATTTGAAACAATAGAATTCAAAATGGCCGCCGTATCGGCGAAAAGGTCCATTTATTGAAGCGTTTTTTTTTTTTTGTCTGGCAACTGTAAAATACTCGTTACTTTCTGATGTCGTTTGTGTTTGAAATATGTTAGGGTTAAACTTTGGTCATCAGGCTATTAATATTTGCTAGCAACTCCCTCTCTGCAACATTTTCCCAACTCCTTCAGTCTCTCAATCCCCCTATTCTCCATCCCCTTTGCTTTTTATTTACTTGCCTCAATTCCCCCTACTCCCGATGTCATAGTCCTCTCCGCTTTTCTTCTTTTCCGTCACTCCTCCCTGCGTTTGCCTTCCTAAGGAACGCAACAAGGCGTCAAGTGAACTCTTTGCTATTATGTCATTTCAGTTACAATCTCATTAATTTTCTTTCTTTGAAGTTTTGACCGATACCCGAGAGAAGTATGACGGGACTCGCCGAAGCCCGTGGAATGAAATCGAGTGCGGAGACCATTACGTTCGACCCATGGCAGCGTTTTTGTTCTTTGAGTTGGCGTCTGGTCAGGTAGATTATTGAAACACCTATCGGAGCTTTTACAGGCTTGCCACATGTCAGGGAGGGGGGGGGGGAGTGCGAATTTTATTTTGAGTCGGGGAAAATTGACATTTTGAAGAAAAGTCAGTGTAAATGCGTGAGTAAATAAAGTTGTTGTTGTTATTGTTGTCAGAGGAAATTGAAATATTTTAACACTGCTCATTTATTGATACCATTGAAGGTTGCAAGAAACATTTGGGGTCACTGTGATCTCAACGATTTTTTTTTCTTAATGAAGAAGAAAAATTTATTGAAAACTTATCAGTGTTAATGAACGGATGGAAAGGACGGCTGTAGGAAGAAGCTAGAAGCCGCCGTAAATCTCACGTTTTGTATTTATTTGGTCAGGGAAATGTTAATTTTTTTTTCAGAGAAAAGTCAGGGAATTTTGAAAAGTGATGTCTGTGGCAAAAATGTTTCATGAAAAATATAGTTATTTTGTACTTCAGCAAAGAAGTCAGCTTTTTTTCATTTGAATTTCGCAGACTTTGCGTTTAAGAGAGGCTGGAAACCCTGTGATCAGTCTTGGATTTGCTCCACGAATTAACCCGTCAGACTTCTGTGGTTTCTTCATCACCGCCACTGCTTGGGGCCAGTTTAAACAGAAAGGAGATTCTGAAATGCGAAGTGGAACGGCTGAGGTTAATTTTGAAGCATCTTAATTAACGTGCATCCATTTCTCCTTATGGCTGTTGTTTCATAGTAGGCCTTTTGGAGCAGTTGGTCACGTCAACGATATTTTCTAAGCTTTTTAGCTACAGCTATGGGAATTCCAGAACTGGAAAGAGCATGTTTTAAATAGCCAGGACACCAATTTTCAGACCAATACCCTGTAAGGTTGAAATTTAATGATGATTGCAATATTGCTAAAATTAGAAAGTTTTGCAAGGAAGCGAGGAAGTTTTGCGCTCCAGGAACATTTTCCGTTATTACTCACTACAAAAAGAAGCTGCTGTTATATAGCTATCGGAGGTAGAAAGAGGGGTAAAATATTAGGAAGAATGGAAAATTCGATGTTCTTAAACCGAAAGACAAAGATTTTATGGCAGCTTGGAAACTTGCAAAATTACAAGGATTTGTTTGGAAAACCACGGAAGCGTGACTGAAGGGCAAAGCGTCTTCTTCCCATACAAATCCTTCTAATTTCTAATGTCCTTGAAATTCCTTCTCAAAGGATATGAACCTGAAAATTTGCGTGTAAGCTTATTTGTAAATGTTCTTTCTATTTCTGATTACATTATGCATTACGAATGACTGAGTCAGTGTGTTCTTGAACTCGAACCAACTGTTCTTGGGATGTCTTATTTGATTTTTTCTAACCTCCTAGCTGTGTGTGCATCATGGAGAACTTCAGTTGTCACAGTTAACTCTACAGTCACGTGCTACCTTCACTGTAGTGCGCAAGAGCGACGACAATAAACCGCTGGACACGACAGCCGCAACGGTAATTCAGTAAAGTTTGTCATAATACTGTTAGTTACAATCACGGAAGCATGCAATTTGTAGGAAATCGAATTTGCATTACAGGGCCACCACAGGTCAGTAAATGGTCGGAGAAAAAAATTCTTCCAGGTCAGGGAAACGTCAGGGAAGTTTATTTTCAGTCAGGGGAAATTGACAGTTTGAAGAAAAGTCAAGGAAAATTGAAATAATTTAATACGGCTGATTTAAAACCATTGAAGGCTGGAAGAAACATTTGGGGTCACTGTGATCTCAACGATAATATTTTTCTTTAATGAAAAAGTGAAATTTGTTTAAAATTATCACTCTTAATGAACGAGTGGAAAAAGAAGCCGCTACTAGAACTGACATTTTGCATTTCTTTGGTCAGGAAAATTTTATTCTTATCGGTGGAAAATCAGGGAATTTTGAAAAGGGATGTCTGTGGCAACTATACATTAGTTTTGGTGTTTTTTGTTCGGCCAAGTGTATTGGTTTTCAACATTTTTTTTTTTTAATTAGGAGGCTGGAAAACTCACAATTAAGTTCAACGATGATGTCTCGCTGAAAGCTGGAGAATGCTTGCGGATAGTACTTTCGGGTAAGCAAGTTAATGCAATCAATAAACGTTTAGGATTTCTTTTTTTTTTAATATTGGATTTCTCGATTCTTGGCATCAATCCTCCGAGCACTGAAATTTCTTCTTCTGTGGTGAACCTGAAATTCACCGCTTTAGTTCCTTAGGGAAAAAAAAACGTTTTACATAAAACATATTGCAAAGTCTTTTCTTGCCAGCTTTATGAGCTCTATAGCTCAGTTGGTAGAGCACTGCACCGGTATCGCAGAGGTCTTGGGTTGGAATCCCTTTCAGGCCAGGAATTTTTTTTCAGGCTTTAATTTCACAACTGCTTAAGTTGTGTGTAAAACTGCGATGATCAATCATGTCTTCATTTATTCTGCCTTGTTGTGTTTTACAAACTAGTTATTCAACCCTTTCGAGTGGTATAACAAGGAATGTCCCGAGAGTCACTTGTATTTTCTCGGTGTAAAGGCGAGTGTGTACAAGGAAAATGCAAGGGACTTGTGGGATTTCCATGAAATACCACGAGAGTGGTTAATAACTATTTGTACCATTACACAGTAAATACTGTGAGTGGCCAACAAAATCACTGCAACGTATGATGGGAAGGCTGGGTGTGATAGTCAATACCGCCGAGTATACAACGGCTTTCTTGTCTTCTGATTGGCTGTATTTCCTATGACATGGTATAAATATAAATATCCCTAAAATGAGGCTAAATTTCTTATTACTTGATTTGACTAAAGTTTATGTGAAAGTTATGCGAGTAAGATTTCCTTCTTCTAATTCCTTTTTGGCGAGTCTGCGATTGAGTTAGGCCTAGTTGATACACATAACAGCATAAGAAGGACGTTTTGTCGTTATGTTTGCAGTGTGAACATCCTGACATAATGGCATAATAGCAATATCACAGCATGAACATAACTATATAAGGAAAACAAACTGATATTTTGGTGATGTCTTGATGTCGATGTTCACATTACCGACATAAGCGATTATGTCGTTGTAGTTATGACGTTATGTCGCCAGTGTTAACTAGGCTGCATACTTAACAATGGCTAATCAAACTTTCTTCACTGTCTTCTTGTCTTGTCTCCCAACAGCTTGAGTTTGGAAAATATGAAGATTGCCAGCTTTTAAAGTGGAATGGAGAATCGATATCTTGTAGAAATAGTCGTAAATAGTTAAAGAAACTTTGTTTAGGACTGTGAAGCCAAGCACACACGTGAAAACTTTAAAGAGCTCAGTCACGGTATTTTGAGTTATTTTGGCCAGGTACAAAATTACTTATAAACCAGTAAAGGAAACCTGCAATTAGCGTTTACTTAGATAGAAAACCTTTATTCATTAATACCTTAAACTTTAAATCTAAATTGTAAATGTAACTGAATTTGTACAGCTAAATCCAGAAACCTTACCAGCACCTCGTTATCACTGCCACTTTGTTTCTTGGCCCAAATAAAACGCTAAGTCTGTCATTTTCTTATTTTAAGAACACCTTGAATTCGACCTTGTTTCTGTGCAGTCTTCGTAGTAACGGGGTCCCCTGGCGATGGAGTGTGTATGCATCAATACGTTTATATAATTGGTTGTGTTTTACCACGCCACACGATTGGCTTAAAACACTCGCGCCACTTTTTCATCCAATCAGAAGTAAAACCAAAACCAATCGCAACTCGCTCTCGCACGTTTTGCCGCACTTTGCGTCGGCAGCTAGCATTTGAGTTTTGATTGGTTCATTGGACTGCCCATGTCCTTTGTGATTGGTCATAGTGAATACTTTGGTTTTACGATTCTCAGTTGAAAACCGCTCTGTAAACGTGCATGAGTAATTGTATTGCATTTGCTAAATTTCATGTAAGCAGCAGTTTCCAAGAACCAATACTTTCCTTACGGGCACCTCTATATGACGTGATGATTCATTTGGCCCCAGGGAAAGCTAAATTCGTTTAATAACTAGTACAGATCCCTGCAATTACAAGGACACTCGATGCGTGCCCTTATTCAGTAGTCTTGACTGTACGGAGAAATCTTGTCTAGTTCCCAACAATTGTACTACTCGTTTGCCGTAAAACGACCCTTTATCAGCTTGGTTACCTTTAGTATATAGGTGTAGTTACCTTTTACAGGGTTTTAGTAGCCTTGTTATTTTTTTGTGTGTTTGTGAAAAGTGCATTCAGAATACTTCAGAAAACTACCTGTAATTAAGTAACGCGGAAATTATCTGTGCAAAATCTGAAAATTCCTCTTACCTTCATAAGCGTGAGGAGAAATTTTGTAAATCTGTTTAAAAAGTGGACAAGAAATTTGTTCAAGTGTCAATGGTATTGCACAGTGCATTTGCAGTAAGTTGTTTTCCTAAATGATACGATTGTTGATCGAGAAAATTGAAGCGAAAGATTTTTATCCGATTCCCAGGCAGTCTTAAAATATTACATTGGGTTGGTTTTCCTTAATGAATCATTACTTTTAACTGTAGCTTGTTAAGTAAGTTTGTGAGGTGAAAACGTTTTCCATCTAATGGAGCGATTTTCAATTGAGTGTCGAAAAGCCAAAACCAAACCAATTATCTACCAATTAGACTACTCAGCTAATCTCAAATCGTAGCAAAACCAAAACCAAAGTAACTGCCTGATTACTTTGGACACTCAATTGAAAACCACTCTATATACAATTAAGAGTAAAACCTTCAAACTGTTCGTGAAGGTTTCGGTTTAATTTAACAATCATTTGTCAACAAGGCATGGTTTAAGCGCCACGCGCGCTCTGGGTTGACATGACGCAATCAACTACGCCACCAAGTACGCGACTAAATCGAAAGCAAAATTTTACTACTGTGACCAAATCAAGTTTAATGAACCTGTACTTAAACCAGGAACAGCAGAACAGCAGCATATCGCTAACCACTAACTGT